CCAAATTCTCTGAAACGCCTTTGGAGATGGCTTATGGTAGAGAAATGAACATTCAATTCGCAGGCAACAGCTCTGGTGGACATTCCTGCAGTCAGCATGCCAATTGCACGCTCCCTCAAAACTTGCGAAATCTGTGGCATTGTGCTGTGCAATAAAACTGCACATTTGTGTAGAGTGGCCTTTTATTGTGGCCAGCCTAAGGCACACCTGTGCAATAATCATGCTGTCTAATCAGCATCTTGATATGCCACACCTGTGAGGTGGATGGATTATCTCGGCAAAGGAGAAGTGCTCACTAACACAGATTTAGACAGATTTGTGAACAATATTTGAGAGAAATAGGCTTTTTGTGTACATAGAAAAAGTCTTAGATCTTTGAGTTCAGCTCATGAAAAATGGGGGCAAAAACAAAAGTGTTGCATTTATAATTTTGTTCAGTGTACAAGGATACATTGCATTTATCAAAACTGACAATAAAAGTGATTTTTAAAGGCTCATGTGACGCAAAAGTCTAGGGTAATGGCTGCTGAAAATTAAACTTTGCCATGACAGGAATTAATTACATTTTAAAATATATTAAGATAGAAAACACTTATTTGAAATTCTAATAATATTTCACAATATTACTGTATTAAAATACAATTTAGCTTGTGCATAAGAGACTTCTTTTGAAAAACTGAATATTACCGATCTTAATATTACCGTATATGATATTGTGATCATATACAACTAATGTGATTTCCATTTTTTAAATATTGACAGTTCAATATACCAAGTCAAAAATGATGGATACATGAAAATGCACAGCAGGAATGACCCTTCGACCCCACACACACACACACACACACACACATACACCAGTGCTGTCGTGAGGAGCTCAAACATAAAGCTGACAGACAGCATCACACACACACACACACACGCAGCAGACATCAGCCGCTGAAGCCCAGGCTACGCTGCAGAAGCGGCTGACTCAGACGAGAGCACTCTCCCTGGTCATTACAAAATACCTCCTGGCACGGATATCAAGACACGCTTCTTTGTCCTGTTGAATTGAACGGCAGAGAAGCAGCGTATCAGCAGCCATTATTGTCTGAAATGGATGGGGGTAATCACTCCGGCTCCTCTGAGTTCTGCAGGGGTAATGAATTGCCACACTGTGCATCTTGGACAAGAGCCACGCCGAGAATCACTTGCACCCAGGCCATTGTTCTGCCAGGATATAATAAGAATTCCCAGTATGACAAATACAGTATATAGAGAGAAGATGAAGTGGCTGGGAGAAGAATTAGGAGAATTTCTATAGCTCTGCACAATAAGTATTGAACCTAGATGACGAAGGGCTACAACATACTTTTGTTTTGAGCTTAACAATTAACCATTGGCCTCAGCAGCTTTTTGAGTTCATTAAAACAAAAAGAGAAAATTATTCCAGCATGTTTCCATATTTTCAGGACTGGAGTGGACCAGTAATTTTAAAGTGATAGTTCACTCAAAAATGAAATTTACTTACCTGCACCTTGTTCCAAACTTGACTTTCTTTCTTCTGTGGAACACATTTCGTCACTTATAATGAAAGCCAGTGGGGTCCAATATTGTTTCAGACCCCCTTTAAAAGTTTCTTTTACATTCCAAAGAAGAAAAAAGTCATACAGGTTTGAGTGAATATACATGATGGAAAAAGTTTGTTTTCGTTGAACTGTCCTTTTAAGCACTATCTATTTAAATATATATATATATATATATATATATGTATGTGTGTTGCAGTGTTATTTTAGTAACATTGATATATTATAGTTTTTGTTAGTATTTTAATTAGATTTTTTTTATTTTTTTATTTTAGTTACATTTGAATAATTTTGTGTGTTTTGTCATTTTTATTAGTCATTTCATGTGTGTGTGTGTGTGTGTGTGTGTGTGTGTTTATTAGTAATTTATTAGTACCTACATAGTTTATTAGATTTAGTTAATAACTAAAAAACTAAATTTTATTTTAACTAAAAAACAATGCACACACACACACACACGTACGTATGCACACACATTTTAGATTACTTTATTTAGTAGTTATTTTAGGATTTTAACTTTTAATTGAAAGTTTTGCCTTGTCGCCTAGGTGAAATAAAATATGAAAATATGTTGACATTTTTATATATATTTTATTTATATCAATTATATATACATATATTCAGTTAATGTTCATTTTATTTCAAGAAAGTTTTTTTTAAATGGTTTTAGTTAACAATAATAACTCTGATCGGTTGAATACTAAATATTTGAATATTGAGGGGGCAACAGCACATCCCTCTCAACATCTAAAGCGGTTCCTGCCTGATTGTATCACAGAATTCAGCTCAAAGGGCTTGATTCAAAACTCAGAGTAAATGAGGTTTTAGTGGCACTGATCTATAATCATTATAGTCATCAATTGCCGCTGTAATTTACGTTACGAGTGCTCTTCGCTTCTTAGCTTATGGCTGATTTGAATGCACAGAGGGGATGATGTGGAACTGACGTGGCCATTTCACCTTTTATGTGTGTGGTCCTTACTTGACTTTTAAAGGTGAGACATATCATTTAGCTCCAGGAAATATACAGTGGGTACGGAAAGTATTCAGACCTATAATCAAACACAGCTGGACTCAAATGAAGGTGTAGAACCATCTCAAGGATGATCAGAAGAAATGGACAGCACCTGAGTTAAATATATGAGTGTCACAGCAAAGGGTCTGAATACTTAGGACCATGTGATATTTCAGTTTTTCTTTTTTAATAAATCTGCAAAAATGTCAACAATTCTGTGTTTTTCTGTCAATATGGGGTGCTGTGTGTACATTAATGAGGAAAAAAAATTAACTTAAATGATTTTAGCAAATGGCTGCAATATAACAAAGAGTGAAAAATTGAAGGGGGTCTGAATACTTTCCGTACCCACTGTAAGTCAGTGCCATGGAAACATGATGTCACATCCTCGAAAAGCTTTCAAACTCGATTGTTATTCCTCTCGAAAACTGTTTCTCAAGTGTTTCTCCACAGCACTTCCTGAGTAATTTAGCGGCGAGAGTCGACATTCATTTTCTGGATCGTTCTCTGAAATGTTACAGTCGCACAGAATATTAAACTCAGTTCTGTATCATGCTCTCATTTTCTCTCATTGTTGGTTTGAAGGACTTCTGCAAATCGCCTCCTAATCAGGGTAATTGATTTTTATGAGCAGCCCCCCTCGGATATAAAAGGTAGGTGCTCCAGCGGAAAGGTTAACAGCCACTGTGGCAAGAGGAGGGCAGCTTTGCACTAGAATTTTCTCTTTTCTGTCCACAGGCTAATGCATAATGGAGCCACCTTGACCCCATAAAGCACCCAGGGCTTCCTGTCCCCTCAGAAGCGCACTTCGACCTGTCACACTTGATCTACAGTTTAATTCGATGCCGGAGCATGCAATTTCTGCCACACCGTCACAGGTTGTGTGGCTCTATCATAAGAAAGGCCAATGGAAGCATGTATAAATATCCGGCTGAAACATCAAGCATGCCCTTGTCAGTTTGAGCTTGCGTGGTAATAGCCAAACAGATCCAGGGTGTCCAATCATGTCCAATATTGATAAACAGAGCATGGATTTTGACATCTGACCCAGCAGTGGCATTGAACTATTTAGCAGTATCAGAGCATCTCTGCAGGCTGTTTAATTCTCATGCTGATAGAAACAGGAAAAATAGGCAAATAATAAAAAGAGAATAGCCTAAGGCTTGGCAGCCATGTCTCATGATGCTGTGCAATTAGTCTTTTGTTTGATGTAGTAGAATTCTGGTAATAAAAAATCTTCCCAATTAAAGTTTCCGATTTTTGTTAACAGCCTGAAAGCATCATCTGTAACGCAAGATAAAGATGTAAAATACAACTTTATGAATCCCAAGAGGGCAACGTATCATATTAAAGTCTAGATGGATATTTCCTCTGACAAGATGATTGAGAATCAAATATTCACAATGAGAGTCTTGTGTTACTTCATAAAACCAGACGTGCCAAGTTTAAAAAGTTTGCAACTGAGTGTATTGAAAACATAAAGCCCTATCTTTTTTAAATGAAGATCAAAATCCATTATATATTAAGCATCGTTGTTTGAATTAGCTTCTCTTTATCGTCCTGGTTTGAATGTGTCATGCAGTGGTGGGAAATTAAAGGGGACAATTATAGGTGAAACCAACTCATTCAACCCCTATCTTTAGTCTAAGTATTCCAATGGGACATTGAGTTAGGCCTACTACTTGTCATTTAGGTGTGTTAAAGTTAATGAGTTACATGGCAGATCCCGATTTTGTAATTTAATGGAATGAACTGTCTATTAATGAGATTACTTTTCCATTATAAAAGATACAATTTAAGTGTAACTCTGTTCTACCACATAATGTGTTCAGTAGAAACAGTACATGGGTACAATTTATAGTTGGCTAAAAGTGTAGGCTAAGTGACAAAAAAAGTTAATTTAAAAATAAATTTACAGTATATTTTTGAAAATAATTTTACACAAATTAAGCAAATATAAGCTTGAATATTCATGGAATCTACCCAAAGACAATAAATACCATATATGGCTTACCTATAGAAATGTATTACACTGAGGTCGCTGTAAAAAAAATATTCAAAATAGAAGCAACATAAAAACAGGCATCATACTCAGTAGTGCTATGAAAATAAAAAAAAACAGAAATATCTTGCAGTCAGATCGCATTATCACAACAAAGCCAGTTTCCATTCTTTCCCTTTAAAATCTGAGTTAAAAGCTCCTGCGTGCTCTTCTTGAGCCAAAATGGCGCCTATGACCAATTAGCTGTCTAACACATAGCCAGTAAAAATATTGCATTATGTTGTTGTCTTTAATCAAATTCCTGACTTTTTATAATCAATGCGATATTCTTTTTTATTAATGTTGTTGTTAATGCGGCGCTTATAATATTATATGTGATTTTGCGTATACTTCAAGCTATATTTCTGGAAAGGCACAAAGAGCAGAGCCTACACACGAACCGTGGGATGGACCACACTTATACCGTCCAAACATGGCAACCCACGAAGCAGACTTAGAAGCCGGTGCTGGTATGGTTGCTTACTTTATTCTCAGCATAATTCTGTCGCGTTGCATTTATTTCAATGATAGTGTGTATGAATACGTCTCTTAATGCATTTAGCCACTGGGACGAAGCAAATGTTTGCGATTAGTCATCCTTCCATAGTTATAAGGACTGCCAATGCCCTACACAGAGAAGTGAGCTCATATAAACGCTGGATTCTTCTTTTTAGATAATTTTCTGGTTATTGTGTTCTAAGAGTATTTGAATTCAGTCGCATCTCATTCTCATAACCTGTAAAAATCGAATTCCAATCCTTCGCATTATGATTATATAAGACATATACTACTTGTTTTTACTTAGTGCATTTAAATTCGGTCTCAGTGCCAGTTAGATGCCTTTAAAAATGAATTCATCCTCCTAAAATATGCTTTGAAAGATTTTGTTATAATGCAGGAAGTTAATAAGAACCCGGAACTCGACGAGAACGCTGATTGGATGAAGTTAATTTTAATGTCCACGATGAGTGCTCTGATTGGCTGAGAGTCAGGTCGCGCTGTCCTCTTCAAGCTGTCAAATGAAGAGAAATACAAACAATGCAGAAACATATGAAGGCTGTGTGATATATATTTACGCGTTTTATGGTTATAGTGTGCAAGTATTTTATGTCAGTTTGTTCTAATTTGATGTAGATAAAAAGAGGACAGTTTCAACGTTTGTTTCACTTTCTTTTTGAAATGTTTAACCTATATATAGCTATGGTTTAACCACTCCAGCTTTTTTAGAATTAGTGGTGTACCATTACCAGTGAGTCCCGTCCTCAAGCAGAAACTAAACTGTTTTATTTTCTCAGGCTTTTGTGGGAAAATGTGGATGTTGTGTGCTGCACTGCTGGCTCTGGGCTCTGTCCAATGTTTCAGTAGGGACTCAAAAGCTGTCACAACAACACTGACCACTAAATGGCCCTCTACACCACTCCTGCTAGAGGCCAGGTTAGCTTGCCTTGAACACACGATGATGATAGCATGTTTAATATAGTTTTATGCTGCACTTTACTAATAATAAAAGATGCCTTTATAATGTTCTACAGTGAGTTCCTTGCTGAAGAGAGTCAGGACAAATTCTGGGACTTTGTGGAAGCCAATCAAAATATTGAAAGTGACCGTGATGGTAATATTTGATCTGAATCCCATCTTTTACTTTCACCTTTTAGACATGCCGAGGCTTGTCAACATGTTTGCCTATTTTTATGAAGCTGTTACCCTTTGTATTTAAGAAAATGCTGTTGTATTGAATATCATATATTAAAATAATGTATACTTTTATGCTGCGGTATGTTATGCAAAAAATTAATGTCAAGTTACTTGCGGTTAATGAAGATAGTTCCAATAGCACCAGTATTTGTGTCGATGCTCTTGACATGCTGTTGGCCAATCAGATTACCAGACTGTTGTCCATATTTCAGACACGGATCTAGCATACTACGATCTGATCCTGAAGAGAGCCAGTGTGCTGCTGAGCCCAGTCCAGCTAAACCTGCTGAAGTTGGCTTTGTCTCTGAGGGCCTACTCATCCACCGTCCATTCCTTCCAGCAGGTGAGTAGGACCTCTCCACAGCTGTTTAATGTAAATGCAAAGTGAATCTGGAGAAATCATGTTCGACTCTGTTTGTTGGACTGTTTGTTTATGTAGATCGCCTCTAATGAGCCTCCTCCACCTGGCTGTAAAGCGTTCTTCAATATACATGGACAGACGTCTTGTGATACAGAAAGACTTAAAGTCATGCTGGATAATGCAGTAGAACGGTGAGTAAAAGCAAGACCTGTTGTAGCCTCCCCTCCAACATTAAGAAACATTATCCACTTTTTTTTTTTTGAATGAATTTACATTTCCCAATGTTCCCCAAAAATGTAAAAATGTCACTTTTGCCACCAGTGAGTAAGCCTGGTGGAGTGACTCACAAAATAAATAAGTAAATAAGTACTCTCTTGGGTATGCATGAAAATGTTGCTAATCAGGACACAAACAGAAAGCAAATAAGGCATTTCAAATTTCAGTAATTAAATGTTTTTTGAAACTATGATGCCTCCACAGAAACATATAAATAATTTAGCACTATAATCTAGCAATTTAGAATTTTGCATGTCTAACAGTTAGACTAACATCTAAATCTATGTAAAGAGGCTTTTTCATGTTGTATTATATGTATTGAGCATGCAGTTTTCATGTCCCCTTTGATTAGAGACTACTTTTTCTTTTTACTTAAAACACTTAAACACTTGAGTGCATTAAAACACTTAAATCCTACACTTTTCCTTATACAAATACATTTAAACTAAAGTACTGACAGTGTCAACAAACCCAAACACAACCAAAACTTTGTAATGTTTTTTATTTTTTTTTTCACTTATTTATTTATTGTTTGTATTATTTATATATTGTTTTGTTTGCATTTAATGATTTTTGCATTATGTATTTATTTATTCATTTTCAGGCCCAAGCCTTACCTGTTCAAAGGCGATCACAAATTCCCCTCAGCCAATCCCGATGCACCGGTTGTGATTCTTTATGCCGAGCTGGGCACCAAAGAATTCACCAGATTCCATCAGCTGATGCTGGCCAAAGCCAACAAAGACTTGATCACTTACGTTTTACGCCACTTTCTGTCTGTGAGAATTAAACCTTTTAGTATTTTAAATCATCATTTTCATTGTATTGAATCTCTTTATCTTTTCATCTTAAGATGAATAAGTCCATATACTCTGTCACCCATGCAGAACCCCAGCAAAGGTAGAGTGCACCTGTCTGGATATGGAGTGGAACTGGCCATCAAAAACCAAGAGTACAAAGCCAAAGATGACACACAAGTTCAAGGTATGATTGCAGCCGAAAGTCTTTGTGTTGTGGCTTTGAAGGAAAGTTAGTATAATTTAACCCTCATGTGGTGTTCGGGTCCTTTTTGCTCTGAGACATTTTTCAGTTGACAAAAAGATTGAATCCAATATTTGGTGATAATATAGCATAATGAGTGATTTATAAGCAATTTTTTGAGGCCGGGTCCTTTTTGCCCTGGAACATCGTAAGTGTGATAGGGTTTTGAACACAACACAAGTTAAATACAGCTATCGTCTAATTAGCAAACTCATTTATCTTTTCTCCACTTTTCACAGCTGGAGCTGATGTGAATGCCACTGTAATAGGTGAAAACGATCCTGTGGATGAAGTCCAGGGCTTTCTATTTGGCAAACTCAAGTAATTTAAAACTCCATAAACATTAAACATTGCTCTCCGTTGACTAAAATGCATCCCTGTGTTTGAAATTACATAACAGTATATCTTGATAGCATGTGTTGTATTTGTCAGGACCATTTATCCTGAACTTAAGGAACAGCTGAAGGAGCTCCGGAAGCATTTGATTGAGAGCACCAATGAGATGGCCCCACTTAAAGTCTGGCAGATGCAAGGTGAGTGTTGTTGAACTGGTGAAACTTCTGGCATCTATAAAATTGAAATTAAATGCTTGTTGGCTGCAGGTGTTTATATTGAGGTCCACAAGAGATGTGTGCTACAGTGTTTAGGTAGCAGAGCCTCTTGTACTATTTGGCACACTTACATTAATGCCACTACTTCAAGGGCTTTCAAGCTCAATTATTATATTACCTGTGACTAAAGGAGCAGTCGGGTAGCTCAATACTCATTCTGACGGTATGCAAATGGAACGTTTTCACATTGTTAATTAGCTGTGGCTCTGCTGGCCTTGCGTGTTTGTCAAACACAACTCCCTCTAGCCCAGAGCTCATTACTGCTCTATCAAGGTAAACTCATCAGAGACTAGTCACATTTAGCAAAACCTCTGAGCGAACACACACACAGTTGAATGCACTATTCCCAATGGTACTGGAAAAGTGCTTTGGCACATCAAAATCATTATATGTAGAATCTGAGAAGTTGGCATGCCATATACAGGTCATGGCTATTTCAAATTAGATCTTGAATATTTCAGGAGCAGAAATGCAGGTTTGAATAACCTGTGTTCTTTATCATTCTCCACAAGATCTCAGCTTTCAGACTGCCGCCCGTATCCTGGCAGCTCCCTCTGTGGACGCTCTCAATGTCATGAGGGATTTGAGCCAGAACTTCCCAACCAAAGCCAGGTAAATAACCACCTGTCCATTACAAACACTTGAGTCCTAACCAGACATGATAAAGCAAAAAAAAAATCCTGTTTTCTTATTTTAAAATATCATTGGTCCTAAATATTACTCCACTGTATATTTAACAATGAACATGTTCTGAATGGCTGAGATTTTGCCAATATGCACAGCATTTCATTTTCAGCGAAGGCTCTAAATTGATGCTGGAAACACTGTGTCTTAACCATGTGTGACATAACGTGTTTATATGTCGTGTACGGTTTATTATTTCACTTTCAAAAGCCACTTTTCTGTGTTTATTCATTAATTCCTCATTGGCTCTATAGTAGTAAGTGCTTTTCAGTTCAGAAACCCTGGCAGCAGACCGCTCAAGTCATCAGAAAGTTTAGTCCGAGCTGGATGTTTTGAGTCTTTACTGCCTTCCAAGGTTTAATTAACACTTTAAGGGTAAAAAACGAGCCGTCAGCAGTTATGATGAAAATAATATGCTTTATTTGGCCCAGACGTTGCAGCCACAGCTGTTTTTTTTTTTGGCAAATGTATTTTAAATGTGCCGCCCACACTAAAATGCAATTTTGTTAAAGTGATCCTTGACATCATGGAGCATAATACGCAGTCATGTATCGCCCAGAGCAATTAACTGCAGCTCTGAGTCATCGACTCCTTTTTTTTTCTTCTTTTTTTTCTTTTTTAAATGTCTGAATGTAGACTTGCATGATGTCAGTGAAAGCAATCTCATCTCTATCTAGTTAAACAGCGTTGATTAAAACAGTCAGCACAGACATTTTTATGCAGATTACAGTAGGTTGTGCATTCAAAATGTGATCATAATGAATCATCGTGATGAACTAATGAATCATTTTCAGTATAACCACGCACATTTCTCTCGCCCCTCTCAGGTCCATAACAAAAACGGTTGTTAATTCAGAGATCCGGAAGGAGATTGAGGAAAATCAAAAGGTGAGGGCTACCATTGTCCTTTTTTCATGTTCCTAGAGTCCTTTTCTCAAAGCTGTGGCGTCAGCAGGTATTCTCATTCACTACGTTTTTTTCTGCACCGCTGAGATAATGGACTCAAAGAAGAGGCCCAGTCAAGTCTTTGTTTTTTGCCTCATAACTCACCAAGAAAAGTCATGACAAAGTCTTACAATGATTCTCTTCCCATATATTAAAACCCGTGTTTAAAATGAAAACATCAGTTGTAAAGTGTTTTGGTTGTTAGTGGAATGGAGAAAAATTCCTCTCCACCTCTCTGCTTGTTTTTTTTCACGTTCCTCTGTATTGGAACTTGTGTAAACGCTTTTGTTTTGTCGCTGAAAAGGTAATGAATGAAGTAATTGTGGCGAATGCGGTTTATACGTGGCTTCGTTCATTGTTTCGGTCATTTCCTTTCTGTGATTAAAGCTGTTTCTTGCCTCTTGTAATGAGGACGTGTAACGGACCTGCTCCTCATTCCTCACTGTAATTGCATGCTGGGAAACGTGACGAATGGAACCTCTTTAAGGTTCTCTAACGAGCTCCCTCGCTCTAATGCATGTGCCTTTAGCGAATAACAAACATGAGTGCCATGGATAAAAGCATGAATATATAGAGTGGAAATGGCCTAAGACTCAAAAGAGTGTGTTTGAATTATAGATCATATTGAGCATCTCTTTCAACTTCTGTTCTGTTCTATGAAGTGACAGAAACATATTTCATCCAGGGATTAGCAACCCACAGGGCTTGGGAGGTTACATTAAGGCGAATTGTGAATATGTCATACCTAATATCTTTTGTCTCCCCTAGCATTTTAAAGGGACATTAGGTCTCCAGCCAGGGGACTCAGCTCTGTTTATCAATGGACTCCATATTGACCTGGATGTGCAGGATATTTTCAGGTAAGCAGCTGGATTTTTTTATTTTTCTAACTTTATTTTTTCTATATGTATTATACTACAGCAGAAGTCTGAAAATAATGACTTAATAATAAAAATGTAACTAAAATAATTATACAGTATTTAATATTCACCTATATTATACACTATTGTTCAAATATTTGGCATATATAATTTTTTTTGGTATGTTTTTGAAGAAGTCTCTTCTGCTCCCAAAGGGTGTATTTATTTGATCAAAAATACAGTAAACCAGTAATATTGTGCAATATTAATGCAATTTGAAATAATTTTTTTCTGCGAGAGTGTATTTTATAATGTATGTTATTCCTGTGATGGCAAAGTTGACAGTTTTTTCCCAGGATTCTTTGTTCAATAAAGTTCAAAAGAAGCAGTGAAATGAATTTGAAAATGTCTTTACTGTTACTTTTGATCAATTCGATGCATCCTTGCCAAATTAAAAAAAATAAAAAACCTAAACATTTGAATGATGTGAATGATGTAACATAAAGTTTGATGTGTTTGGTTTGTTGGTGTTTTGATCTGTCATGCTGCAACCTTGTATATTGTGTGATTTTCTTTTGCAGCGTTTTTGACGTGTTGAGGAATGAGGCAAGGGTCATGGAGGGTCTGCGTAGTCTGCTTATAGACACACCCTACATCCACGACATCCTCAAACTTAATGTTCAGCCTTCAGACTCTGACTATGCAGTGGACATCCGCAACCCTGCTGTTAACGTGAGCTATGTGTTTTTTTTTTTTGTTTGTTTGTTTTGTTTTCTGGGAGAGAGAATAGAGAATAAACCCTTTTTTTTCTCTTTCTCCAGTGGATGAATAACCTGGAGACAGATTAAGACCCATACATATTTTTTGTATATACATTCTGTAATTATAGACTTTAAGTGGTTGGTCAACTCTGTAACCTGTCAATGGAGTTATTGTGTGTCTCTCTCTGGTGATTTCTGTGTTTCTGTCTGTCTGCAGGATTGGAGTGGTGTTTGTGGTGAATGATTCTGATGAGGTTGATGGGATGCAGGATGCTGGTGTGGCTTTACTTCGAGCTTTCAACTATATCTCTGACGATGTTGACAGCCAGATGTCCTTCGATGCCATCATATCTGTAAGTCAACAACATCACCAAGTGCTTCATACAACACCAATTTAGTGATGGATTTTGTCTATGTTTAGGAGCATACTGGATATAGATTTGCCTAAAAACTAACAGTCTTTTCAAGAAAATCATTTTTGATATGTCTTTCAGATGTTGAACAGAGTTCCCAGTGGAGGCAAACTGAAGGTGGAAGAGACAGATGGCCGATACGCATCCTGGCCCTCTAATGTGCAGGAGCTGCTGCGGCCCACCTTTCCAGGAGTCATTCGACAGATCCGGAAAAACTTTCATAATCTGGTAAGTATTGCAAGTGCTGTGTAAATATGACAGTTTCCTTCAGACATTAACAGTTCACAATGTAAACCCCACATATAGATCTGAATTCTGCGGATCATTTCAGAAATGTCTGTGTCATTCTGACAGGTGATGATTCTGGATCCAACCCATGAGAACATGGCAGAGCTGATCAGCGTGGCTGAGATGTTTTACAGCAACAACATCCCACTCAGGTCAGTCTGAAAATAGACCGAACATTATTACAAGAACATGATTAATGTTTCACAATGCGTAGGAGCCATGGTGCTCCTGCAGGAAAGCAGGTTCAAATCTGGTCAGTGTCTTGTGCCATTCTCACCCCTTCATTTAACTTTTTCAGCATCTCTCAAGGTGTGTTGGAGAAGAGATATCCCTATGTAGAGATCAGCAGCATCCTGGGGCCTGACTCTGCCTACGACAACAACAGAAAAGTAAGGGATTTGTTTTTCTAATGTGTGTGCTTTGAATATTTCAGCAGTACTCCATCTCAGATGTCATATTCTTGCCAAAAGAGACAGAATATTGTGGATGAGTTTTTTTTTTTAATCAACTGTAGAGATTAAGGATGTAACTGTCAGCCAGAGGTGGTTCCTGTGCTAATAGCTCTTTGTGTCTCCCAGTACCCATAACCCTTATTGAGGTCATATCTTCTTTGTCTCCACAGGAGGGAAAGGCATATTATGAGCAGACTGGTGTTGGCCCATTGCCTGTGGTGTTGTATAATGGAATGCCTTTACAACGTGAGCAGTTAGACCCAGATGAACTTGAGACAGTCGTCATGCACAAGATCCTAGAGACCACCAGTTTTTTTCAGCGCACAGTCTACCTGGTGAGAATTGCATGTCTGTCACCCATAGTCTCTATGGTGTCCTTTTTGGCCTAAAAAGTAACCCATTATATCATTGCACTCTTCCTAAAAAATAGCTAAAACCCATAATCAAATAGATCTGTCTGTCTTCCAGTCCAGCTTTAGTGGAAGTAGTATAGTTTTGTAAAGTTTTAGAACTCGTTTCACAGAGTAGTTAAGGTGTCATGCACTCTGTAGTCTTGCATGATTAATTGATAAATTTATTGTAAATATATATTAAGTTGTTATTGCCAGTTAGGATTCTGCAATAAATACAATACATAAAAAGGAAAGTAACACTCATTACATAAATCCACGTCCATATTGCAGGGATACTGCAGGTGTGTACAGTATATAAAAAAATAAATAATTAAATAAACACACACACACACTATATATATATATATATATATATAATTTATTTATTTTTTCATTTATCTGAAGTACAGTTTAAGGTTATTTATTTTCAGTGTCATCTTTTGAAATGACTCTTTTGATCTTTTCAGGGTGAACTGAACAGTGACCATGATGTAGTGGATTTTATCATGAATCAGCCCAATGTGGTCCCACGAATCAATTCCAGAGTCCTGAGCACCAACAGGAATTATCTGGACCTTTCTGCCACCAGTGAGTTCTTGTCTGATTGGGTTCATAACAAATTGTTTTTTCAGTGTTTTGCTGCTCCCCACTTCTTTTCTGTTGAATCATAAATAGCTTTTCCTCCGGTAAACGAGCTAGTTTGAGATATACAACACGTACGCTCTCACATGCTCTCGGGAATGAATATCTGCCTCATTGTGAATTCTGTGCTAAATGTCTTGTTTGTTCTTGATAGCCCATTTATTTACAAAAACGTACAAATGAGACTGCGGCAATGATATTCATAAACTGCTTTGTTTTTGCAAGGAATTTGAAACTGAATTTTAATAGCTTTTGAATAGCATATTTGCAGTCTTTCAGGAAGCTGAGAAAAAGACCCATTTCAATCTGAACTCAAATAGCACTCCATGTTTAAAATAGCTGCATTTGAAATGGCTTTGGTTGGATTCAATTATGAATGTGAATGTACCTCTAACAGAGAACAAAGCACAACCTTATTTTCATTTTCTCCCCAAGTGTTTGCCATCACCTGACCTCCAAAAAAAACAAGTCTTTTCTTTTCCAGACAATCATTTTATCGACGAATATGCACGTTTCCTCTTTCTGGACACCAAAGACAAGAATGCAGCGGTGGCCAACAGCTTCAATTACATGACAAAGAAAGGTGAGGTGATTGCTGCTATTGATCTCCATGAGAAACGCAATTCCTCCAACCTGCTGATATATGAACAATTGAGGGTTTCTCTGTGGGACCTGTGGGAAGTGTATAATTTCTCATTGTTCTGTCCATCTTACGTTATTTACCAGGTGCACACTGCGGTTTTGGCAAACCAAATCAAATTTCAGAAGTTGTCAAAGATATTTGTCATAAGCAGTCTTACCGCCAGATTTACTAAACAGGGCAAATTAGCATGAGACCGCAATCCCTTAAAAGCGGTGATGGGAGTGGAAAATTCTGTCAGTGATCTTCTGACAATACTGCGTTTGTTGGATGTTAAATAATACTAGAAAATTGACTATTGCAAATCTTAGTAAATTAAAAAAAGCCAAAGAAGGTTTGCACTGCTGCAAGCTCTTAGTAAATCTGGCCCTTGATTTAATAAGAATGACGTTCTCACCGAGAAAAAGTAGTTGATACTAGCTTGTGTATATTATATGCAAAAAATATCTTCGCATTTAGTGTTTCATTGCATTATAATATAAAAATGTCCTTCAGTTTGCTTTGGAGAATGAGCAGTCAAATGCAAACGAAGATGACTAACATGGATTGGTGACTTAAATTGCCCAGTAATGACCAAAGACTTGGCTGACATGTATATCACACAGTCTGCCATGAAAGATATTTAATATTGTACAAACAGTTTTGTCCTTTAGCCATTTTAGTATAGTCTCATTATATAATCTGAAAGGCAACACAAAAATGCTAGTGTACACCTGGCTTTAGGCACCAAAAACTGTCTGTGTACCACTAAATATATCTGTCTGCTTTTATTTGTGTTTCTTCATTCCTTGTTTTTCTTGAATGCTGATTTCAGGGATGTCAACCAGGGATGCTTCTGGTAATTGCATTGAGCTGTTATACTCACTTAACTGACAGCCTACTTCCCATAGATCTCATCTAAACATACAGTGCCCGAGTGCAAATATTGTTAGAAAACGCCTACATTGACGCCTACATCATTAACATAACACTCTCTGTTGCTTGAAGGAATATTCTGGGTCATTTAAAACTTAATGTCTGTGTGCCACATCTGCGGCATGCTGTCGATTACCACAGGAAGTAGGCTAACTTTGACTCTGTCTCTCAGTTTGTGTACACAAATGGGAATGCATTTACAGGAATACACTTATAATGGAAGCCTAGCAGGTCAGTGTGCAACTACTTTGAATAAATATCTATACATATTTAAAATGTCAATTTTTCTGTCCCACTGTTTAAAAGTACAAACATGAAAACGGTTAAGATGCGCTGGACCTCTGTTAGGCTCGGTATGTGTGATACAAGGATACCAGGATGAAAGTATGAAGAGATGTGACGTAATATATAGAAGTGAAATTACATCAGAATTTTGTCCATCTAGAAAAGCAGTCCAACCTCAAAAGGACAATTCAGACAAATATAATGTTGGCGCTTCAACTGAAATACAAGCCTCATATTCTTAAACGCTCTGGCCTGCTAGACTTTCATTATAAACCAAGTGCATTTCTCTGAATGAGTTTTTGTTGTTTAAAATATACTGAGGGACAACTCTAAATTATTTTCTGTGGTAATTGACAGTATGCCACTGATGATATTGATAGCTAAAGTTGTAAATGTCCCAGAATATTCCTTTTTAAGCGTGTCTGCAAGTTTTAAGATTAGTGTATTATGATTGTTGTTGTTGTTTTCCTTTAACCAAGTGAAGACGTTTTCTGAAGCTTGCTATTGATTTAAGCACAGTTGTGCATTTGTCATCTGTCAGAACTGTCAGTGTGTGATGGATGAAAGAGATTCTCTTTCTATCCTGTGGTCCCCTGTAATATCTTTCTTTTACAGACGTTTACAGGTTTATATCTAGGTTGAAATTGCCTGTCTGTCTTTGTGTGCCGCTTGGGCTCTTCAGATACATCTCGCCTTTTTGACTGTTAAAACCTAAGACAAGCCAGAATGCTTTCAGTTCCTCACATCATTTTCACTCACCTTTTTAGATTGCATGAGGAAACAGCATTTCTCGGCTGTGTAATTTCCTTCAGCCCGTGTGTCTGTCCTTCTCTGACTTGCAGATGATGGCATCATCCGTCCAGTGACTTTCTGGGTAGTGGGAGACTTTGACCAGCCCTCGGGACGACAGCTGCTGTACGATGCTATACGTCACATGGTAGGACAATGTCACTGAGCCAGTTCCGTCAAAGTTAGCTGTAAAAGATAAAACCTTGTACGCGGTGCATAAAATTTACTTTTTGCCACTGTGGTCTGTCTGATTAATAGAAGACATTGACTGGCAATTTCAAGCTACAGCATAATAATAATAATAATAATAATATTATTATTATTATTATTATTATTATTATTATTATTATTGTATACTATTATATTATTTATTAATTCACTTTAATTTTAGTGTTAGTAATGTGTTTTGTCATTTTTTTTATTAGGTTATTTCAGATATTTGTACTAAGCTTTATTTTTTTTATTTTAATAATTAGTTTTACTAATTGTAGTACTTGAACCTATTTCAGATAGTTGCAAAGGCAACATTTTGAATTTTCTTTTAATTTTTTCTTAAAAATTTTCATCTAATATTTATATTTTATTTTGCCTTTATTTCAATTAAATCTAAAACTTTTTTTAAATTTGATTTTATTTAATAACAACATTGGATATTTCAAACACTAAACATAGTATGTGATTTATAATATTTCTGTAGCAACTCTAAAATATTTATATTTGTTTATATAACAGCTTTATTCTTTAAATGTGTGTGATTAGAGTGGGGAAAAAAACAAGTCTAAACTAATCATAATTTGATGTCTTTTTTTTTTTTACTTTAGAAAACCAGTAATAATGTACGATTAGGAGTGATCAATAATCCCAGCGAGAACACATCTAATGAGAAGAGCCTAATTGCTCGAGCCATATGGGCAGCCATGCAGACCCAAACCGCCAACAATGCCAAAAACTTCATCACCAAAATGGCTAAAGAAGAGACGGCACAGGCTCTTTACGGAGGGAGTGACATTGCAGAGTTTGCTGTCGGGGTAAAATAAGCTCTCCTGTAATTAATTTACAGTTGTGATGGATTATTTGCTCTGGGTTATTTCACTGTTGCTGCTGCGAATGTCACTTTTAAACTGCAGAATTTAATATAGAACCAATCTAACCAGATCCTTCTGCATTTTTCTGCCCTACAGGGCATGGATGTTCCTCTGTTTAAGAGTGCATATGAGTCCCCTAATGTGAACTTCCTGTTGGCTCACTCTGCCTACTGTCGTGATGTCCTCAAACTGCAGAAGGGCCAGAGAGCTGTGATCAGTAATGGGTAAAAGATAAAACCTTGTACGCGGTGCATAACATTTACTTTTTGTCACAGTGGTCTGTCTGATTAATAGAAGACATTGACTGGCAATTTCGTTAAATTGTTACTACCCTTGTTTGTGAATCTAATCTAAATGTAGTCACACAAAGTAGCAAATCGCACTACAGTATTAGTATATCAATATTTATAAAATGTATGTAATTATTATAAAGCTTTATATAAATATTTTAATATTTTAATATAATTAATAGTAAAATATGTATGTTCAAAAAAACATAAACCAGCACACATATAGCTTTGTTCCTTACTGCTTATGTTATGTTATATGTTATGTTATG